CAAGGATGAGGAATACAATAGAAGAAGGGTTAAGGAAGTGGGAGCCTGGAATACATCTGGTTATTGTTTGGTTCAGTGTTCTCAGGGCCCAATCGTCATTGGAGTGGTTTCCACCAACTTCAGCAAGCATTTAACACACAACCAGTCTGACAGACCTATCTCCAGCACACCTCAGGCACCACTGCACCAGGAAGAAATCTCAGCTGAAAGAGAAAGCAGGTTTGATGAAGGCTGCAATTAAGGCTTGTTCAACCAGACACTGAGTTCACACAAGAGGGAGTAAAACTAAAGGATGCCTGAAGACTCCCTGACAAGACACAGATTCTGGAATAACAGTGCAAATAATCTGCATCCTTTTCCAAAGGGCAGTGGGCCCTAAACATAAGCTTCCATGGAGTGATAATCCAGACTTACTTCTGACTGGTATCTTCTGTACACAAACAGTTGTTAAAAGCAAAATGCAGAGTATTGACAGGAGTAAACTGTAGAATTCAGACATGTTTGCTAGAGCTAAGAGAAGTGTAAACCTCAAAGATAAGATGAGGGAAAGTTTCTAGGTGTAACTTGTTGAGGGAGAAAACTAAAATCAAACACCACCAGAGAACTATCAGTAACCCAAACAACAAAGAGAGGTACAAAAGGCCAGAGAAATAGCAGCCCATATGGTGGTCATGTGTAAAAAACACATTCCACAGATTGCAAAGCACTTATTTATGATTACATGAGACAGAGAAAGATGGCAAAGTTAAAACAGAAGTGTGCTTAGGCCGCAGTCATATGCCAGTTGTGCACTTCTCCACTTTTGCCCCATGGTTTCTTGACTTATTTTTCCATCAAAATAACTGCCATGTTTTGGGTATGTCTAGAAGAAAAAAAAAAACAAAATCTAATATGATAATTTACAGTATTGCATGCCAGAGTCCTGCAGGAAGGGGTGGTTTTATTGAGGGAAATTCTAAGAATATATTAAGGTGGTCAACAGGCACTTGCCATAGATCTGCCCAAGAAAAATACTACTGTTACTGTGATGAATGAAGTGATAACTTCACTGCTTCTCCCCATACTGCCCATGCTTCTGTGCCCTAACAAAAGAGAAGAATAACCATGTCAGGAACATCTCTTTGTCTTCATTAATTTACATTTTTGGCTGCATACCCCAGAGGTGTGCAGCAGAGAGGAATGTGCAGGCTCAAAAGGGCTCAGCTGGAACTGCAGCCCAGTTCTGCCATAAAATGACTCAAACTTCATTAAATAAAATAAACCTGTTGTAGCCCAAGGATTGACTGACTTGCTGTTTCCTTTGCTCCTGGGTTAATACGGTGAAGTTGGCACATTGATAGAACACTCAGCAGGACAATGGGGTGTGCTGAATTCAAATGAGTCTGGTAGGACTGTAACAGGTACTTCGTACATAGCCTGCTGCTTGGAGGAAGGGAATGGAACACAGCTAAAGAAGGAAGAAAAGATGTCAAAATCTACAGTTGCACAGTGGCATCTATTTGTCACTGAAAACAGAGGATCTTGCAGACCTTGAAGCGACTGCAAACTAGAGAAGATCATAAATTCCGTACTGGAGACCAGAGTAAAAGGATCTTCTGATTTAGATATGTCTGACTACAGATAAGCTCATTATAAAAGCTAACAGTCCATACATCCCAGTGGGACATTGTCAGAAACTCTAAAGCAGATAGAGCCCAGGTATTATACCCAACCTACAGCATACATGCTTGAGCAACTGAATCATGTAGCAAACCAACACTACCAGAATGCATGAGCTGCCTTGGATACGTTCACATGCTCAGTTCACAGCTCAGCTGCAAATCATACTACACGGGAGATGTCAGGCATCAACCACGCAGAGCTGATGATGTGATGTTGTGACACCTCTCAAGAGCATGCAGGGTGGAGTCTGTCCATGAGATCCTGTGCCCATCTGCTAGAGGTTTCTCCCTGTAGAGCAACCTAGTAAGAGCTACTGCTCCAAGAGTGCTGTCAGACATCTAGTAGTCAAGAATATACAGTGGATGGCCCATTAAGCCTAATGCCTTCTGCTGAAAGCAGTAAGGAAGTCTTTCTAAATCTTAATTCTGGTTCCAAATCAGTCAGGCCAGCACTCAAGAAAGGGATGTGGGCATTGGGCTATCCAAGCTTGAGACTAAAATGCAGAGGCCCATACCTGTGCACTCTTGGCAAGGACTTGATGGGGAGACACAAGAGCCAACACAACAGGGAACACCAAGCAAGAGCACACATCTGAAACCTGGTCTCTTTGCATACTCAGACATTAGCTTCCTGCCAAGAGTAAGGCACCACTATAAAACCTAAATTCAGGCTTGAAGCTGATTCCTACCATCAACAAATAGGCAGGTGAGGCTGGAATCCCAAGGAGGAGTACTTGGTGACATGACTGCTAAGACTAAGGCAGCAGATCTCTCAGGAGCCTGAATTGGCTTTCAGGAGGTACTGGGGAAAAAGCCCAGTCCATTCTGGCACAAATTATGTACAGAAGGGCAGGAAAGAGATTCTGGAAGCAAAACTGAGGCTCTGGAGAAGGAAACTGCAGACAATGAATGTTCTCTGAAAACACTGCCAGTAATCCCATGCAGGATGGGAAAGAGAGGCAGGAAAGCCAAGGTTTAATACCTGGTTGAGAAGATGGTAGAAAGAGCAGATTGGTCAGGAACTGGGGACACTTCTGGAAGGGAGGTGGCCCAAGCCAGAGGGACAGATGTCTCTAACTCATTGCACAATAGTCTTATTGGCACTTAAAATCAGGAAGGCACTTAAAAACGTGAGCAGCTTCTAAACTGGAGAGCAGAGGAAAGCAAACGAGTGCAGAGGCACAAACAGCTTTGGCTGATGCTTTTTGAAGGACAAAGCCATGGAAATCACCTATCCTCATGTAGAGGGGACAGCATGGAACAGAATAAGTCAGACAGGACAGAAAACAGAGTAGGTGCCAGTTGTATAAAGTACTATAAGAACCAAAACAATGATACCAAATGCCAGCAATCTAGTAATTGAGAAAACTGGAATGTCTTCGTCAGCTGAGGACATCAGCTAAATGCCTATTTCAGAAATCTACAGGACAGAAGACAACCTGGGAGCTTCTCTCCACATACCACCCATTCCATTTACACACAAACCAGATAAACATGGGGTGATTTCCACTATGTTTGTGAAGACATTCTGGGAGAAATGCCCAATGGCCAATATTTATTCCATGCTATATGCATCAGCAGTGTTCTAGCAGCAGTGTTAAGGCACAAAAACAGAGTTTGTGCCTCAGTGCACTCAGTCCCTCCCTTGGGAGAAGCTGCCACCTTTAACTACCATTTGGGCCATGTTCAGCATGCATAGTTTATCACTGCTGAATACAACATGCCTCCTATGCTATCAGGAGAACAAAGGCTAAATGCAATAGTGTTTCAGATGGAGAAGAGACTCTGACAGTTTTGGAAATACAACAATCCCATAAACCAGAAACAACACACCAGGTAAGAAGTTAACATACCAAGGGGGCAATATATTATTGTGAGGTTCAATCAGTCACCAGCTGTCCTGCCTCAGGAGATGAGGAAGCAATACTTGAAATGGGGACTGATATAGGAAACTGAGAATCTACAAGTTCACACCTCTGCACAGGCTTGTCTTTGCACCTCTCCTCATGTTGGCAAGAAAAACTATTCTCTTTTGAGGAGCTTCTCCACTTGGTTTTGTTGGTTTTGCATCCCCTCTGTCCAGCAGTCCCATTATTTGGGTCCACTTTGCATTAACAATTACTTAAGCACCACTTCATTTTAATGCCCATCAACTTTCAATCTGTACCTCTATCAGTGTGGGGGTGTTTGACACAGGGCTGTACAATTCCTAGAGTAATTTCAAGAACGAACTGTACCAGAGCTACAGAAAGAGAGATCCCTAGGAGGTATTTGGGTAACATAATCAATTCACACAGAGAGCGGGTGTGTGAGTATGCATGTGAGTACAAAAAAAGCCCATGTACACACCCCCCCACATCACACCAGAAGATGCAGGATCCCAGACACCGGGAGTATAAAAGCCAGCCTTTTGCATGCATTATTTCTGAAATTCCTCAAGCCCTCCTGCTTCAGAGAGCTGAATTATTTAAAACCAACTTGGAGAAGCAGGATTGCGATTTAAGGAGGAGAAAAAGAACAACATTACCTGGATCTGAGCAAATCAGGTTTTGTTTCATACTCAGTTGCTCACAAAGTTTATCATCCTGATTTCACCTCACCCAGAGCTGCAATTTTCCAACTCACAGGGTGACAAAACTAAGTTGAAACATGTAGTATCTGAATACACCGACAGCAGTTTGACCCTGGCTGGAGTCAAACTGAGTTTTATATCTAAAGACAGCAATCACTTTTTGTGTCATCTGAAGTAACGTGGGGGGGGACAACAGTGTGAGGGATGTCACAACATGCCGTGCTACGGACTGGAAAAAGCATCTCCTTGATGGGGTCCTCTGGTCTCTGGTGTGCCCCTGGTAAAATGATCTAAGTGATTCTGGCCCGTTGCCACAAGCCCTCTTCCCTGCTGTATGTGCAGAGAAATGTGTTACAGGATTATGAACATGTCACTGGCACTGTTAGCAGTGCAGAGATAAAACCTCACTCATCTTTAGTGCAGTGAGTAGGAAAACAGATCATTCCTTTAATTATTAAGCATAAGTGAGCTATCCTCAGTTTCCCAAAGCCAGTTTAAACTGGCCCCTGCCCTGCAGATTCATGGATTGATGGTGCAGAGCTTTAACAGTATTTTGCTCTCTTTCTTTAGCTGTTTCTTACTTTATTTTTTTCCTCCCCTGAACTCCCCAGCCCTCTGACTCTGAGGACAGAAGCACCAGGATTGAACTCTGAACAATGCTGGCAGCTCTCCTGCCTCACAGTTCACCCTCCTGCCAGCCTGCCAAGTCAGCCCTGCTGAGCACGGATGCTCACAGGGGAAGGGTTTAAGCTTTCTGCACCTCTCACCTGAGTTTGATGCCAACACAGCTCAGTGGGAGGAAGGGCCTGGCTGCAGCAAGCGGTGCGCCCGACACTCTGCAAGGCATGGCGATGTGTTGTGTCACTCAGGATACCGTTGCTCAGTAACAGTTCCTCCAGCAAACACATAGACACTGGTACATTGGCTTTGTAGCCCAGGCTGTAGGCCTGGAAGGAGCCAGGGAGGATGTGTGAAATGAAAGGGATGAGATCTGACTTTTGCCTGAAGGACCCTTTAAAGTTTTCAGTGCAGCAGAACATTGCTGTCCCATGGCCTGGGCTGCCACCTGCAAAGATCTGTCCTCTTCGCCACTTGGCTTCTGCGGGTTGCTTGTCCACTGTGAAGCAAGTCCAGAGGAGGCCACAAAGACAATGAGAGGGCTGGAGAATCATTTCTGGGGAGCCAGGTTGAGAGAGCTGGGCTGGTTCAGCCTGGAGAAGGCTTAGAGCAGCTTCAGTGCCTAAAGGGGCTACAAGAAACCTGAGTAGTGGCTTTGAACAAGGGCCTGCAGGGACAGGCCAAGGGGAATGGCTTTAACCTGCCAGAGGGGAGACTGAGATGAGCTCTTAGGCAGAAGCTCTTCCCTGTGAGGGTGCTGAGGCCCTGGCACAGGGTGCCCAGAGAAGCTGTGGCTGCCCCATCCCTGGCAGTGTTCAAGGCCAGGTTGGACACAGGGGCTTGGAGCAACCTGCTCTAGTAGAAGGTGACCCTGCCTGTGGCAGGGGTTGGAACTGGATGAGCTTTAAAGTCCCTTCAACCCAAACCAGTCTGGGATTCTGTGATTTTATGAATGGTCCTACTCATTAATTTGGAGGTCAGAAAGAGCAGCATTTTAGGGAAGAAGGCCAGATCCAAAATAAAGAGGAAGCCAAAATTAACTCTTAGACTAGAAGCCAGCCTAAATCTTGATATTTGGATAACGAATCAGGTAACACCCACCACACCAAAAGAATCATGAGTATTCAGGGCTCTAGTTTTGCATCTCTGGGTGTAAAACCCTGTGTTCCTTCCAGATTGTATGTTGCCATCTGTCTCTGCTTCTCACCACTCCATTTGGCCACATGCCGCTCATTAGGGCACATGCCAGTAAAGAGGAACATTAACCTGAGGTTTTCTTTTCCCCGTACTCTGTGTGTGCTTCCTTAAGGTAACCAAGTCTGATCTCTCCTGCCCTTGTATAAACATGGTGCTGAGCTGGAACCAACTCCAAGTTCAGGGTAGTTCACATTGTAGGTCTGATTTGATTTCACTGGTGCCTCATTGTGCATGCCTTGAAATCTGGGCATGAGACAAAAATAATAGAGGAGAAACAGCTACAGTGCAGGTAGTGGCAGACAAAAGAACCCTTACTTTAGAAGAGAGATCTGTGGAAAAAGTGGAGGAACAAATTCCTCAACATCTGTGGTCTGGCAGGTGAAGTGGGTATTGATTCGAGTAGAAGTGGCACAACTGGGCTGCTAAGAGCAAACACAGCTACAAGACAGAGGAACATCTTGTATCTAGGTAGACATGAATGTTCTGATTCTAAAACTTAGCTCAAGGTCATCTCTAAGTGCAGAGTACAAACACAGTAACAGCTATGGTAGCTTGTGCAGCTCTGAATGACAGCTGAATCCCAGCAGTTTCAGATCAGACTCTACATACTGTACGACTTCCCAATAGCAAGGCTTTCTTCCAGGCCATAACCATCTTGCAAACGTAAAGCTGAGCCCAAGACACAGGGAGAACTCCCTACCAACCCAATCCTCTCAATGCAGCCCTCCAACATCTCACACCTCCTTTCCCTCTCAGTCCCTGCTTGGCTCATTTGCTGCCTGATTTTGCTCCATGCCCACCCTATGCCAGTGCCTCCCCTGCCAGGCAGGGCACCAGCCATGTGGTCTGTACAGCCAAGGCTGCAGGGGAGTGCTGGGGGCACAGAAAAGATCAGCTGTTTGGTGGCATCTCATAGCTGTGAAGGGCTGGAGCTGCTTCATCTCAGATCCAGCTGAGTTCTGAGGTCAGCAGAAGTTGTGTCTGGTATGTGGGGAAGCAAAACGATGTTCTGTGAGTAGTAGGGTCTCACAGCCTCTGCTCAGATGAGAATGCAACTGGAGGTACAAGTCAGAAACCCCTGCCTATTCCTAGAGACAGGATTTTACTTGCATGAAAGACATATACTCCTCCTTCCCATCTCCTGCTTAGCTAGGAATCGGGTTCCCCTCTTTAGGTAGTGCTTATACCTACAGCCCTTCTCTGCCTTCCAGTTATGTTCATATCTAGAGCCACACAGCTCAGCTTTCTGCTCCATCCTGTGTACCTCTGCTGAATCCCGCTGTACAGGGCTGAGGAAAGACTGTGAAAAGCATCTTGCATATCATGGATACTACTTGCAAGAGAAGAAACAAAGTGAGGACCAAAACCAGCCTTCAGGATTTCAATCAGTGCACAACCAGAGAGAATCTGAATCAACTTCTGGACTCTAGAAAGGTTTTCATTGCTGCCAGAAAGCTTCTTAGAGCCTTCTAGGGGGAGTTTAGAGTTATTTCAGAAACAGGAGGACATTTTTCAAGGGGAGAACTGTGCTTTTGGGTATTTCTTTGTATTGCTGAGCCAAGGTGCACCTGCCTTCCATTGATCTCCTGTACAACTGGAAGAAAGCCAACATCCACCTGCAGAGCATGCCCCCACCAGAGCAGCACGATGCTCCATCAAACACTGGCCACCTATCCATTGTCATGTATCCTGTATTTGTCACTAGCCAGATCAATCCCATGCTGTTCAGCACATTTTAGGAACTCGGACTAATAAATCATTGAAGTGCCTCTCACTTCACAGATGGTAAGTGCAGTTCAATGAAGGTAATTATAAAAAAAATTACTTCTGGAGAAAAAAAATCAAAACATGGGAATATCTGTCTAATAGAAAGGCCTGCAAAGAGATTTGGGAGTTCTAATAATTCTGAGGAGCAGGTTAAAGGTCTGAGAGTCTGACAGTAGGTTTTCCCTCTGATTGACTGAATCGATCCTGTCCTCATGTAACAGCTCTGGGTCCCTGTATCTCTGAGATTTCAGGTCCTGGAAACAGTGCTGAGGAAAAAGACTGTACCTCTCACCGTAATGTGCTGGGTTTTTTCTGTCTGCAAACACAATATCCATCACTACGAAGGCAAGATGATGGAAACGTGCAGATCCTGCAGGGAGCAGGGAAAATACTAAAGCAAGACCTGAATTCCAGTAACAGTGGCAAAACCAAAGTGAATTCCCAAATTTCCATTTGATTTTTGTTGTTGGATTTCAACATGACACGCTGTGACTGTGTCATTTCAACCTACCACTTACATGGTTCTCTCTAACATGCCAGAATAAAACGCCTTAGTTCTTAGATGACACATATAAAAGGAAAAGGCCCTTCTCAGCCAGCATCACTGAAGATGTATTTACAAATGGTCAAACCATTCTCTCCAGCTAAGAGGCTGCAGCAAGTGAAGCCACCTTTGCCCAGGCATTGAGGCCACAGTACTACCACCTTTGTGATGCATAACCAAAGGAAAGAAGCAAGATAGACTAGAGGAAGCAGTATTTCTGAAGGACCTTTCATTCCAGGAGAGGTTGAGAGATCTGTGATCCACCAGGGCCCTGTCCTGACCCTTCATGTCTGGTCTGGTTTGTCTCTCTGACTTCTGACTTCTCCTTCCATGTCTCCTAGTTCTAGCTTCAGATCTAAGCACAGAAATGGGCTGCCTCACCTTTTCTGGTCTTCTTTATGTAGGAGAGATAGTTCAGCCAAATGTGGGGCTCCCGATATTACTGAGATACAGAACCAAATATTTCTTTTTTTATATGTAACATGCCAAAACCTAATTCAAGAATAACAAAATCCCTCCAGAGTTCCAAGCAGATTCAAAACAAAGATCTGAAGTTATCTGTTTACCACTTTCTTTCTTTTTTCACCTCAGTGAAAGATATATTCATGTCCCTCAAGCAATTTACAAAGTCAGTCTTCTTACTCTGCCTACTTTTGCATTAAGCTGTACACCCCATTTTAACAAACCCATTCAGTTTTAAATCACATAAGGCCTTCAACAGAGAGCCTTCAGAGTTTAGGGTGTTTACCTGATCCTCTTACTACCTACTCAGTTGTGATCTTCATCTTGATCTAAAGGCATTACATTGACTATCCCAAGGGCAAGGCTTTGTTTCCAAAGCACCAGGTAAACAGAAGTGGCTGTGTCTCCTCCTTCCAGCTTTCAGAACAAATAACACCTTTTCGATTGCAATTACAATGTGAGGAGCATGACATTTAGTGACGCATTCTGAGCGACCTTAAATCGTTATGTAAAGGAAAATGTACAGGCCAACTGTGAAATATGATTCCAGGGACTGTTAGGAGATTAGAGATATGAATAAACTTGTGGAATAAATACCTGCATTGGAGCTTTCAGCTGGACCCAATAACAGCCAATCACAAAACCCTTTTTATTATGAAGAGTCCTAACAGCAGTATAAAACATACAGTGCAGCTACAAAAGAGAAGAGTTAAGGTGAGGACAATTTAGGTGTGCTGAAGGCAGGAAGAACAAGCTATATCTCTGAGACCTTGGAACTGCTACAAGAGACTCAAGAGATCTTACCTAAGATCCCTCCCTAGCATTTGAGTACACATCCAAACTGAATCAATAAAGTTCTGAGAGCTATCTAATGTGAGGTAGCAGAAGTTTCATGATTTTGTAAGTGGTTGAAGCTTTCCTGTTTAGTTTCACTAAAGTCATCAACTAAACCAGTGTATAAACTAGGGAGCCCTGAACTCTTACTCCCTCTCCTACTTTAACAACCACCTCCATTTAATTAGCACTTTTATCAGGCTGAGACATCTCAAGGTGCTTTATGAAAGATGTACTATCGTGGAATCTGCAGTGCCAAGGTAACAAGTGAAATCAAGAAAGCAAAACCAAGAAAAGCCTCAATTTAGATTTATAAAGTGAAACAGGGAAAAAGGACAAAATAGGTTGGGTTCTCAGCAGGCATATATCAGCGACTGACTTCTGTTCTCCATCTGCTGATACTCCAGTACACTGACTTTAGGAAACTTCTACCCAAGTTTCACATTCACATTTCCACATGTTAGTTTTTTTAATGTACCTAAGAAAGACAATCTGGAAGCAAAGTTTTAATGTTGCTGACTGTTAACTCCTGACTTCCCTTTAAACTGAGCTCCAGAAGACTGTATGTGGAGAAATTTAGCATTGGTCACCTTGCTTTTATTTCCTGCCTTGCCTGTGGATCAAGAAGTAACATATGTCACATCTCACAGTCAGATGTATGTAGATACCCGCATCTGG